CATGCTAATCATACAAGCATATTAACTGCAGGTTTCACAGCAAAATCATAAGTAAAAGCAAACTAGAAACAAGATGAATTGAAGCAATAAAAGAACCATATTGATTTTGGAACTTAAACTGAAATTAGAACATATCAGTAATGAAGACAGTAAACAAAAGTGAAGGATCATGAGAATACAATAGTTAGCCTTGGCTTGCAACCGGCTAACTCAGAATAGTAGCAAGTAGCACAAAAGAGAGAGAGCAGAAGGCTTAAGTGTGAGAGAGAAAGGTTTTGAACCAAGAGTGTTCGTGTGTTGTGTTAATGAAAGAGTGTGTATATATAGTTTGAAAGTAGGTATCAAATAAGGTAAAAATCAAAGTTCATCTATAATTATGGGGACTCAAAATCAATCAGTCACAAAATCATGGTAAGTACTCCTTTAATTGAGGAGTCAACATCAAACAGTAATAAACATGTGGAAAATAAGGAAGGAAATCGTATAAGGCTGATCATAACAAATAAGGAAAAATTTTCTGCATAGTACAAGTACAAACATGTAATAGAGGCTAGGTTCAGCATATTTCAATCAAGGAAAGACTTAAGAAATCAATTAATAGCGTAATTGGCCAAAGAATAAGGTCAGAAAATATTTTACAAGGTTAAAAATTAGTAAAGATATCATGCGAAATCAGTGAAAGATCAATCACAAAGATTCAAGGAATTAAAAGTAGAAAATAGCACTGATTTAGCACAACTTTATAAGAACAAGCACATAGTAAGCAAAAACTAGAACTCTAAGAGGTCGAGTAGGACAAAAATCATTTATAAATTGGATTCATGTAGAACATAGTGTGAATTAGTAGAATAAGCATGATACAGGCAAGAGAAGTGAAGAATCAGAAACATTGGTGAATAAAATAGGGTAAAATCACACAATAGGCAGGGATGGCCGTAATTAGGAACCTTAACAAGCAATCATAAGTGTCACGATCCTAGTTCACCAACCGTGAACATGTCATGACGGCACCTGGTCCCCAAGACCAGGTAAGCCTATTATTGCGGAAACATAACAATCGCGAAAAAATAGAGAAATTCAAATTAAATATCTAAAGAAAACTGTACTGAATGCCGCTCGGCATGTACAACTCGATAACACAAATCTAAGACAATTCCCAAAACCCAGAAACTCACGGGCAACACAGGCTACAGAAGTATATAGTATGGCTCCAAAACTCCAGAATATCTAGCAACCGAAAGAGAGAAAACTAAGTACTAAAGATAGAGTAAGAGAGGGACTCGTTGGTCTGCGGACGCAGCAGATCTACCTCGAAGTCTCCGAAATCCTCCTGCCTCACTGATAGTGCGCCTGAGTAGAGGTACCTGGATGATCTGCACATGAAAAACATGCGCAGGAAGGGCATGAGTACACCACATCGGTACTCAGTAAGTGCCAAGCCTACCCTCGGTTGGGTAGTGACGAGGAAGGTCAGGGCCCTACTGAGGAAAAAATATAACAATATCAATAATTAACAGCGTGGAAATCTGACAGAAATAATAAATACAGCAGTGTAATAAGGCAAGTCAACGAGGCAATACTAACTACCAGGATAGAGTAAAACATAGAGTAAACACAGCTCAATGTCAAGATACCAATGAGGGTCTCCCAGGATACCGTCCTGTAGCCCTTTCCTCAACTGTCTACTGGATCTCCCGGAATACCGTCCCATAGTCCAACTCACGTACCAATACCAGAGGATCTCCTGGGATACCGTCCCGTAGTCCAATCATCAATGTGCAGGGGGATCTACCGGGATACCGTCCTGTAGTCCCAAAGTAAAAGTGCAGGGGGTGATAATAGGCAAAATCTAGATGATTTAGCTATTATGTATGCTTTCGCTTGATTATATTCCAAGGTCATATTATGATTAATTGATGAAATATGGGCTCTAATTGTGAATTGTATATATCTCAGGGTAAGAAGCTTATATTATGCTAGAAAATGTGATTTGGAACCATTTTGGAGCAACAAAGATCCCTCGGAGTTTTGTATGGTTGAAGACAAGGCAAAATATCAAGGCCACAGCACAACTGGGCTAGCGCGCCCAAATGCGCTGCAGCGCTAATAAATGCGCGGCCAAGACAGAACCTCAGCAAACTAGCGCGGCCAAATGCGCGGTCAAATGCGCTGCAGCGCTAGTCCAAAATCCNGTGTAGGGGTGGCTTTTGAGTGAAACCAATAAAAGAAAGAAAGGTGCACTTGTTTTGTAGATTAATACACCACTAGCAGAAATTGGAAAATTTTGAAAATTTGAAAAGAAGAAAAAAAGGGGGGGGGGGGGGGGGGGAGAAGAATAATCTGAAAAAAATTGAGAGATGAATACATTGTGGCTTGTTCTTGCTAGTGGGGTATAAATTACAGTGGTGCTTGAAGAAAGAGGCAACATTGTTGGGAGCGATTTTAGTTTTGAAATTGAAGTGGGATTGAAGAATGTGCGCTCAGAGTGATTATGTGATGTGTTAAAGTGCTTAGGAGGGTGAACCACTTATTCCTAAATATATCCTACCCGTCCCTTAGCCCACATTACAACCATGAAAAAGTCCTAATTGATTTTAGATCGAGTGAGCCTACATTAGTAGAGATTTACATTAAGGGCAAGCTTATGGTACCAATTGCATGCATGTGACTTCTTTTGTGAGGGTGAGCGATTTCTTTTAATATATGTGAGCATGAGACTCAAATGTGCGGATTGATTTTATTCCCCTTACTGTGATTGTGAGGGCATGTGATTTATGAAAGAGAGGCAAGTCTTGACTTCCGTATAGAGTACTTTGAGGAAGTATGAATATTGCATGGCACTTGAGAGTCGACTTGTGAGGCTAGGATTGTTCACTGATAGGTGTAATGTATGTGAATTGTTCTGAGTGTAATGCGTTAGGGGATAGGGTTGAGTGAAGGAACCTATAGAAAGTATAAGGTGATTGCTCGAGGACTAGCAATGAATTAAGTGTGGGGTGTTGATAAGAGGCTGAATTTAGGTAATTTAGCGATTATTTATGCTCCCGTTTGATTATGTTCCGATGTTATAATGTGGTTAATTGATAAAAAATGGGCTCTAATTGTGAATCATATACATTGCAGGATGAGGAGCCTATGTGATGCCTTAAGGAGGTGATTGGAACTACTTTAGAGCAAAAACGACCCCTCGGAGCTAAGGACGAACGAAGACGAGGAGAAAAATCAAGGAAGTAAAATGCTGGGCTAGCGCGCCCAGGTGCGCGCCCGCGCATATTGTAGCGCGTCCAGAACATAAGGTTGGCTTACTAGCGCGGTCAGATGCGCGCCCATATGCGCGACCGTGCTAGTCCGAATTCCGGAAATTGTTTGCCAGGGGTATAATTGGAAATCTGGAGGAAACCCACTTAACCTATATAAAGTCAAGCTCGCCCAAGGATTATTTATCAAGTTTTTCATAGTCTAGAGGGAGAAATAGAGAGGCAAGAGGCAAGGAGGAGATTTAACCATCAGTTTCTTCTTTTCTTCTCGTTGTTTTTGCTAATTGTGATGAATTTGAACCCTATTGTGATGAACATGAGTATGAGTGGCTAAACACCCATTGTTCTGGGGTTGTGTTTTAGCCATGAATATTGTTGTTTGATATTAGCTTGACCTTGATTATAATTCACCACTATATGGTTGTTTCTTCAATTCTGTGTTTAATTGCTTAATTGTCTGGCCAACAGTTTGGTTCTTTTACTATCTATGCTATGCTTGGGAAAGCGATGTTTAGATTAGAGAAGAATTGAAGAGAGCATGATCTTAACCCTTAGGGGGAGCGGATTTGTGGTTAGGATAGAATATACCTAGTCACCGTGCTTANTTCTAATAGGTTGATTCCATAGGAATATAGGCGTTAATCTATTGAGAATAGGTGAGTAGTACTTCGGGAGAAGGCTATGAGAGCATTTATCGATTAATTAGCAATCATGGGTGAATTATATGAAAGGGAGAGTTAATTAGAACACAATACGAATGGTGAATCGATCACAACCCTGGAATACTTGTCTCTACTGAATACACAACAATCAATTCTTTACTTGATAATTTAGTTTTACTTAGAATCGTAGTATAATATAATCATATCATTGGATTTTGATTTTAGCTAGATTGAATAGCAATTTGAGTAATTCCGTGAGTAGTTTACACAAGTCTCTGTGGGTTCGACACTCAACTTATCATTATATTACTTGTCGACCACGTATACTTGCGTGTGCGTTTGGCCGCAACAAAATACATTTGCAAAAATCAAGTTGTTGATTATCATGAAATTCATCGGGATAATTGTTTTTCCTTCTATTTTTGTAACCCAAATCTGAATGTTACTCTCAGACACCAATGTAAAGTCCCTTTCAAGCATTTTTCTTTAAATACGAATACAGTAATCGAATCAAAACCATTAGTATGATCCTTTTTTTTAATTATACAGCCCATACTCATGTTGGGAAAGCTTTATATAAAATAAAAACATAGCTTATTTCAAAAGCATGATGAAGTTATTACGTTCGTGTTCATAAAGATTTATCAGAAAACATTCCAAGATGTTTATCAAAGTCAAGTCCCACTAAATTCATATAATTGAAGAGTAACATAACCAATCTAACTTCAGTTTTTCCATGATAATTACAAGAAAAGTTTCTTCTTTGCTCGTCAAGAAAAGAAGCACATAGCAAAAGAAATGCTACTACGTACAATTGCAAAGGATCTCTGAAAAATAAATCCAGATGCAATATTTCAAGGTAGCAGTTTCAAAGACAACATGATGAAATAATTAAAGCACAAACAATCTCCTTCCTCTCGATCCCGAAATTGAACAAACACTTCACAGATTGAGGAGGGAGGTGGACGCGAGAACTAGAATTGAAAGAGAGTTGGACATCGTAGTTCAACCACAGCCAATTGAGATGGCAGGTAATGAGGAACGCGCGGTGATTGAAGCCGCAAGGCCCAGTCTGGCTAATATGACTCAGGCTATCGTGAAGCCTGACATCACTGGGCACTTTGAACTGAAACAATACATGGTGCAGCTGATCCAGTCCACAGGGCAATTTGTAGGTCTACCTCATGAAGACCCACAGAGACATATTCAGAATTTCTTGGAAATTACGGATACTTACAACTATCCAAACGTTTCCAAGGACTATGTCAGACTGACACTTTTCCCCTTTTCTCTGCTCGGGGAAGCTAAGGAGTGGTTGAATAAAGAGCCAGCTAATTCAATCCGCACGTGGGATGATCTGGCAAGGAAGTTCTTAATCAAGTTTTTTCCCACCAAGAAAACAAAGATGTTGAGGAGTCAAATTCTTGGGTTCGAACAACGAGCTGGCGAGACACTTCGTCAAGCATGGGAAAGATACAAGAAATTGCTCAGAGACTGTCCTCATCATTGCCAGACAGACGAGGTACTGGGTCACACTTTTGTAGATGGGCTAGATGATGCTTCAAAGATGAATCTCGATTCAGCTTGTGGGGGTAGTTGTATGGCCAAACCGCAAGGTGATGGTGACTCACGAAAGGCAGTTAAGCAAAAATCAGCTGGGTTACTTGAGCTTGACGAGGTGTCAGCAATGAGAGCTGAAATTGCAAGGCTGTCCAATCAGATGACGAGGATGACAATGCAGCAGCCACAGCCAATGCAACAGGTACAACAGATGACTATTTGCTGCGAACTGTGTGGTGACAGTCATACGAGTGATATGTGCCCCACAAATCCAGAATCCATCTATTATGTAGGGCAGCAAAATAGAGGCCCACCGAACCAGCATGCACAATACGGGAATTCCTACAATCCAAATTGGAGGAATCATCCCAACTTCTCATGGGGTGGAAATCAGCAGAATCAGAATCAGTATAGGCCCCAAGGGGGTTTTAATCAGCCTCAGAGACCACCCCAACAAATGGAAGAGAGCACAAATGATTTACTAAAGAAGCTGTTGATTGACAATCAGCAACTCAGGACCGACTTCAGAAATCTTGAGAGGCAGATGGGGCAGTTAGCAACGAATCAAAACACTAGACCTACAGGAGCCCTCCCCAGTGATACAGAAAAGAATCCGCAAGTGAATGCAGTTACACTTAGAAACGGGAGGGAACTTGAGGAAGTGCCAAAGAAAAGGAAAGATAAGCCCGTGCCTGAGGGGGAGTTGATCCCTAAAGTGACAAATGAGCCAAAGAAGACTGCTGAAATTCCAGAGCCAGTGGGGGCCCCAAGGCCACCACCACCTTTTCCCCAGAGATTGCAGAAAAAGAATGATGATCACATGTTCGGCAAATTTCTCTCTATGTTGAGCCAGGTTCAATTGAATATCCCACTTGTTGATGTACTCCGTGAAATTCCAAAGTATGCTAAGTACATAAAAGATATAGTGGTTCACAAGAGAAGATTAACTGAATTTGAGACAGTTGCACTTACTGAGGAGTGCACTTCTAGGGTCCAAAATAAGCTCCCTCAAAAGCTTAAGGATCCTGGCAGCTTCACGATTCCTGTGCGCATTGGTAATATTGATGTGGGTCGTGCTCTTTGTGATTTGGGGGAAAGTATAAATCTGATGCCCCTATCGTTGTTCAGGCAATTGGGTCTTGGAGCTCCGAGGCCAACTACTGTGATGTTACAGCTGGCTGACAGGTCGATAGCACACCCTGAGGGGTGATTGAAGATGTGTTGCTGCAAATTGGGAAATTCATCTTCCCTGCTGATTTCATTATCCTCGATTATGAGGCTGATGAACTGGTCCCAATCATATTAGGGCGACCTCTCCTGGCTACCGGTGACGCAATTATCAAAGTGAGAGAGGGAAAGATGATCTTGAGGGTAGATGAGGAGGAAGCAGTTTTCGATGTCTACAAAGCAATCCAACTCCCCCCGTCACTATGAGGAGCTGTCCATGAAATCAGTTATTGAGGTTGATGAGCAAATTCGTGATCCAAGTGTATATCTAGACGATTCTCTAGAGAAAGCACTTATGTTATTTGATAGCCTGGGGAATGATGAGGAGGTTGAGGAGATGATGCACATTCTTGATACGTCTTGTGCATACATGCAGGGGACACACCCCTTTGAACCTTTGAACAGGCCACAGGGACCTCCTCCAAAGCCGTCAATTGAGGAAGCCCCAAAATTGGAGCTTAAACCTCTCCCATCTCACCTGCAATATGCTTATTTGGGAGACTCTGACACTTTACCCGTTATTGTTTCTTCTGACTTGTCTAAATTGCAGGAAGAAAAGCTGTTGAGAGTGCTACGAGAGCACAAGCGAGCAATTGGGTGGACGATGTCCGACATAAAGGGCATTAGTCCAGCCTTTGCATGCACAAAATCCTTATGGAGGACGGACACAAGCCCAGTGTCGAGCAACAACGACAACTTAACCCAATCATGAAAGAGGTGGTAAGAAAAGAAGTGATTAAGTGGCTTGATGCAGGTATTGTATTTCCTATCTCAGACAGCAAATGGGTAAGCCCCGTCCAATGTGTACCCAAGAAAGGGGGGATGACTGTGGTAGTTAATGAGAATAATGATTTAATCCCTACAAGAACTGTTACCAGGTGGAGAATTTGCATTGACTATAGAAAATTAAACAATGCCACCCGGAAGGATCACTTTCCCCTCTCCTTTATCGACCAATTGCTTGATAGATTAGCTGGCCAGAAGTGCTACTGCTTCTTGGATGGTTACTCTGGGTATAATCAGATTTCTATAGCCCCAGAGGACCAAGAGAAGACCATTTTTACGTGTCCTTATGGCACGTATGCGTTCAAGAGAATGCCCTTTGGTCTTTGTAATGCACCTGCGACTTTTCAAAGGTGTATGATGGCCATTTTCACTGATATGGTCGAGAGGTTTGTAGAAGTATTCATGGATGATTTTTCTGTTTTTGGATGTTCTTTTGATAACTGCTTAATGAACCTCGATAAAGTACTTGCTCGGTGTGAAGAGACTAACTTGGTGCTAAACTGGGAAAAGTGCCATTTGAAGGTATAGTCTTGGGACACAAGGTGTCCAAAGATGGGTTGCAGGTGGACAAGGCAAAGGTGGAAGCAATTGAAAAACTGCCTCCACCGATATCTGTCAAAGGCATCCGCAGTTTCTTGGGCCATGCAGGTTTTTATCGTCGTTTTATTAAAGATTTCTCGAAAATTTCATCTCCCTTGTGCAGGTTGCTTGAGAAGGATGTTGCCTTCAAATTTGATGATGCCTGTCTGAAGGCATTCGAGGAGCTGAAGGGCAGGTTGGTGACTGCACCGATCATAGTTGCTCCGGATTGGGAGCAACCATTTGAATTGATGTGCGACGCAAGCGACTTAGCTATTGGAGCTGTCTTGGGGCAAAGGAGAAACAAGATCTTTCATTCCATCTACTATGCGAGCAAGACCCTGAACCCAGCTCAGATGAACTATACCGTCACTGAAAAAGATTTACTTGCAGTGGTGTGGGCGTTTGACAAGTTCCGATCATATCTTGTGGGGACCAAAGTCATCGTCTACACAGATCATTCAGCCATCAGGTACTTGTTTGAGAAAAAGGACGCCAAGCCGAGATTGATTCGGTGGGTCCTACTGTCTCAAGAGTTTGATTTGGAGATCCGGGATCGTAAAGGAACAGAAAATCAAGTGGCAGATCACCTATCCAGATTAGAAAATCGGAACCATGTGGCTGAAGGGGGTGCAATCAAAGAAACATTCCCTGATGAGCAGTTATTGGCAATCACCTCAAGCACAGCTCCGTGGTATGCAGACTATGTGAACTTTATTGCAAGTGGAGTGACACCACCAGAATTGACACCAGACAATAGAAGAAGGTTCTTGCATGACGTGAGGCTTTACATGTGGGATGGGCCATTCTTGTACAGGCTCTGTGCTGATCAGTTGGTGCGGAGATGTGTTCCTGAGGAAGAAATGAGCTCCATACTTCATAGCTGTCACTCCTCGCCATATGGGGGTCATCACGGTGGAGACAGAACCGCTCAGAAAGTGCTGCAATCAGGTTTTTATTGGCCAAAATTGTTTAGGGATGCACACGCCTTTGTTAAAATGTGTGACAGGTGCCAGAGAACCGGAACGATCACGAAGAAGCACGAGATGCCACTGCATAACATTCTGGTAGTGGAGCTATTCGATGTTTGGGGAATTGACTTCATGGGACAGTTTCCATACTCTAACGGTCATAGGTACATCTTGGTGGCAGTTGACTATGTGTCTAAGTGGGTGGAGGCCATTGCTCTCCCTACTAACGACGCAAAGGTGGTGGTAAGCTTTGTCAAGAAGCACATCTTTACCCGTTTTGGAACTCCTAGAATGTTGATCAGCGATGGAGGTACACATTTCTGCAATAAACTGTTGAACAACGTCCTTGCAAAGTATGGGGTCAAGCATAAAGTCTCCACTGCCTATCACCCACAGACGAGTGGTCAAGTGGAGGTTTCAAACCGAGAGGTCAAGCAGATTCTTGAGAAAACGGTGAGTGCAAATAGAAAAGATTGGGCCGGGAAGTTAGACGATGCATTATGGGCGTACCGAACAGCATACAAAACTCCCATAGGTGCTTCTCCGTATAGATTAGTGTATGGGAAGGCATGTCACTTGCCCGTCGAGCTTGAGCACAAGGCCTATTGGGCAATAAAGAAGTTGAATATGGATGGGGACTTGGCTGGAGAGAAGAGGTTGCTGCAACTAGATGAGCTCGAGGAGTTTCGATTACACGCATATGAGAATGCCAAATTGTACAAAAAGAAGACTAAGAGGTGGCATGACAAGCACATTCAATTTCGAGAGTTCGAGCCAGGGCAAGAAGTTCTTTTGTTCAATTCGAGATTGAAACTTTTTCCTGGAAAGCTTAAATCTCGTTGGTCAGGCCCTTTTGTTGTGGTAAGCGTGAAACCTCATGGAGCCGTGGAACTGAGAGATATAAGTTAAACTGGCACATTGTTGGTGAACGGTCAGCGGATAAAACATTACTGGGGTGGTGACTCTGCACGTCACAAGACCTCGGTGGATTTGAAGGATGCTTGAGAACATGTTGAGTCGTGCCGCGACGTTAAATCAGGCGCTGGATGGGAGGCAACCCATTGAAATGTTGTAACCGTTGTGCCACGACGTTAAATAAGGCACTGGTTGGGAGGCAACCCAACGATAGTTGTAGTGTTAATTTTGTGTTTTAGGAAGAGCTAACCAATGCAGGTGACAGAGGGTGGATGCAAAGGCCATTGAACAAGGTAAGAACAGGTGAAAAAATTGAAAGAAAAATTGCCCAGACGCGAGGCAGCGCACTTGGACGCGCACTTGAGCGCGCTAAAATGAAAACATTCTGCCTTGGCCGCGCTAAAAAATGCGCGGCAGCGCATTTGACCGCGCTACTAGCGCTGCAGCGCATTTGACCGCGCTTCTGGGCGTGCTAAAATGAAAACATTCTGCCTTGGCCGCGCATTTTTTAGCGCTGCAGCGCATCTGACCGCGCATGCCCCTTTTAAATTCCGGCGTTTTAGTGTAAATTTTTTTTTATTTTCTTTATTTTAGTTTTCTTTTTCTTTTTCACCTAACTTACTTACCCTCAAGTTACTTACCCACCTCCCCAATTCACTCAACCTCTCCCACCTCCCCAATTCATACGACCAAAATCCCCAACCCTTCACTCAAATTCTTCCAGTGTTTTCCCCCCACATTCCACCAACTTAATCACCCATCTTCTTCTCCACTATCCCTCTCCACAGGTATGAACCCTAGTTTCTCCTTCTCTTTCTCATCTCTCTGTTTTTCTATTTTTTTTATTATTTTATTATTTTCTTTTTTTTTCCAGAGTTTGTGTATATATATACCTTAGTTTTAGTAGTTGTATGTAGTTTTAATGTAGAGATTTTGGTGCCATATGTTGTGGCGTTAGTAGATGATAAGTGTGGCGTGGAATCCCCCGTGATTGGTAATGTTGGAGAATGTAGGTGGGTGTGTCTTGCTCTATCATGCTTAAAAAAGAGTTGTGAAGGCCTAATGCCCACAATGTGTTTGTGGAAAGGTCCCAATGAACATGAGTATATAGTTTGTGACCCCGGATGCGTGTGAAGTCTGAGTAACCGCATTGAGTCACAAATTTTTTGTTGGGCTGTGATAATGTGTTATTGTTTTACAGGTATCATGACTCCTTCCAAGAAACGACGTACCACAAGGGCTTCATCGAGCAGTCAAGCTGGCTCAGCTAGGTCACGAGGGGCTGCCCCTGCACCCTCTTTTGATGCTACTAAGTTTGTATCGGCCAAAGCTCAGGCCCTATTTGCGGAAAAGGCTCGTCGAAAGCCTATTCCGGAGAGAGGTGTTGACATTCGATGGCTTCAGAAATTTTGCCCTCGTATGTATGATGAGTTGATGAGGCGGGGATTGCAAACATTCCTCAATGAGCCCGGTGAGGCCAATGCCATGGTTGTAAGGGAGTTCTACGCCAACATGCCAGAGCATAATAATGGGATAGTCACGGTACGCCGGCGAGCGGTGAATGCCTCTGTGGAGGCAATACGGGCGACCTATCAACTGCATCCTCCCCCGGAGACTGGTGATTACTTTCATGATTATGGGCGCCACCCAATGACCGACAGATAATGGGAGAGATTCTTTGAGACTATTTGTGTACCCGGTGTAGACATGTGATTTTTGATCCTCCCTAAGATTTTTTAAATTTTAGCATGTAAATATTTTATGTAGGCCTAATATAGCTATTTCAGCCATTTTTGACTTCTTTCCTTTATTTTCGTCATAAAAATGGAAAATTACAAAAATATTTTAGCTTACGTATCTTTCATAAATTTAAATAAGAATTATACAAAAATAGTACCTTATTTTTATCTTTACATAATCTTGAAAATACAAAAAATATATAATAGTTTAATGTTAGATTTTGCATTGTGTAGTATTTTTATCTTATTTTAAAAGGAATCAATTAAGGTGTTGGATCACGATTTTAAGAGTTTTAGAGCCCAGTTCTTGGCCCAATTCGGATTAGTCCATTAAGCCTAGAGACCCTTCTAAACTCTTCTTTGGAACAAAAACAAATAAAAAAAGACCCTAAGGACTTAACACAAAAGACCTAGGGACTAATTAGCAAAATACACAAAATACACCTAGACCTAGACCCTACCCCTATAAATTAATACACCAAAAACGCTTAAAAATCAGAGAATCCGCCGCTTTCTTGAGCAAAAAATACACAAAACCAAAAGACCAAAAAAAGGCTGCCGGCCATCTTCTTCCTCAAAGTTCATCATTTTTATTCCAAGTGAATCCTATCAGCAGCTCCATGACGTAACCATAAAGACCTGAAAAACTCAAAAAAAAAGCATCTATGTAAAACTCACAAAAACCAGCTCTTCATCATCACAAACTTTCAGCGTTTTCTCCATAAAAAGTAGCTGAAAAATCACGCCAAAAAGGCTCCAAACCAGTGCGAAAATCAACTTGAAACCACCATCCAAACCCAGTAGAGATGAGCCCATTCGGGGACGCCGACTTCGATCGCCGGCGAGTTCTTCGGCCGTAGCTCAGTCCCAATGTTGGTTCTGTTCGTGCGCCCGTTTGGTCTTCGAGCTTGTCGCCTTTGTACACCAGTTGATTTCTTAATAAAAGGAGTTTTCTACTCATTACAGGTTCATATATTTTTTTCCTCTCTTAAATTTTTCTCTGATCATGAATGGCTCGACATATGTTATTTTGTCCATCAAATTTTGGTCTGCTCTATTTTGTTGAATGTCGAGTTAGTTCTCTGTGGCTCCATTCCTATGGAATGTTTAGCATCTTATCAACAAAGCCTTTTGTGAATATATGAATTACTATTATGTTTATTAGAACACATTGATGAAGTAATGGTTTAGGCGTTGTTGTGGAGAAATTTTGGTCCATCTTTGTTTACTCATTATTCTTGAATATGTTTATAGTGAGAAGCATTATATATTTATTGTTGGCAGTGTGTTTGAATATTCATTTGGGCTTAGCTTAAAAGATACTAAATTGGTATTTGGCAGGACACTTCCCTAATCTACCGAGTCCTATTGTCTCTTTAATTACCCAAATTACGTTAACCTTTTTGTGTTAGTTAGCTTCTGCAAATTCTTGGTTGTTATAATCTATTTGTATGGTAATACATGTCATTAAGAATAGTAATGAAAGGAGAACCACAATTTGATTAAGCAAAAATGGGACCATTGTTCATCTGTTAAGTGAGTCATGCTAGCTAGCTTTTATAGAAAAATTAGGGTGTGCCATGTTGAATAAAATCCATAAATTCATGGCCTTCATCTTAACTAATTTTAATCCTTTAGAAATCGAGGTGCCCATGCCAAACAAAATGATAATTGCATGGCCCTCATTTTAATTACAATCCTTTGAAATTAGAATCGAGGCGTGCCATTTAGCAAATTTTCATGGCCCTCGCAAAGTTGAAAACGCGTAGTTGCTTTAGGTGCGTTTTTTTTAATATTTACCTTCTAAACTCGGG